GATGACTGAAAATCCTCTGCCTTTAAATCACTGGGGATTGCACCCAAACCCTCAAGTTGTTTAGTCGCCTCTTACGACACGCAGTTGCTTCTGCGGTAGGAGTATTCTTCCCCGCCCCTACACGGGTGGAAATGGCGAAGAGCAGGGACAAAAACACGAAATTAGTGTACCTATCTAACATAATAATGAAAGAAAATATAAAAATGTAATTCTAAACCACTTGAACAACAAAGACAGACTGAAAGTTAAGCAATATGAATTTAGGAGAATAATAAACTATAAGAATTTTGTATAGAAAAATAATAAACAATGCAAACAAATAATATATACGGTTTCAACTAAAAGGGTTTCAATCTGATGTATTCTGCTTTGTATGTTTAAAATTTAAATAGAATAAACATGGAGGTCTCAAAAACAAACCAATAGTTATTTACATAAAAGTTAGTAAAATCGCACATTACTGGTGAGGAAACGTTAAAGTGCGAGGCCGAGTATTTTAATTTCTGAGTTAAGTAGTGCCATTTTACTGATGAGTTCTGTATTAAATTTTACCAGACATCGTATTTTAATACAAAATTTCAATTTTCATGTAGAATTGGATTAATGTCATCATAGGCATGACCAATGTGACGGTGCGGCCGGAAAAGTAGTCTGGTCATTGAATAAAAAATGGCCTGGTAAAGTTTTATTGCCCCTGTCATGAAAACTAAAATCTCCTGATACATAAAGTAAGCATGTAAATGAAGAAGGTACCATGACGATTTTGGGTAAAGTATAATAATAGACAGTACACTGAAAAACACTTTATCATCATTTTTCATTTAAAATCGACCTAATATTTTGGGAAATATTGGTGAATCCAGTCCTCCACTACAAAAAATAAATAATTTATGTGTGCTAATACGTTGATAAAATAGTATATTGAAAGACAAGTGTTACAATGCGACCTATTGTAATACGACTATCTTGTGGCACGAGTGGCGACGCGAAGCGTAGCCACGAGTGTCCGCAATAGAATTACAATAAAGCGCAATACTATTTCGGTGCTTTAATTTAATTAAAAATCAGAAACTATAGGGAACATTAGAACTAACATGTTTTATGTTGGGAACACTTTTTATGCCGTTAAGTTTTAGGTTGGCAGCGTAGTAAGACACATTTTGAAGTTCAAACATGGAAGTTGTACTGCGAAAATCGAATGAACAGGTACAACTGTATAAAAATAATGAATAATGGATTTATTACATTTCTTTGCTGCGAAAATCGAATGAACAGGGTATAATAATGAATAATGGATTTATTACGATTTTTCGTAGTTGAACACCAAATTTCATTTTATCAGTTGTAAAAATCGGCTACCCCATGTTTCCTAATAATTTGATGAATATTACCAGCCTTCATGGGGATCGAATACATTAATATTAAAACCGATGGGTCAGGTTCGCGTATTTACCGCATTAAGCTTCGGCTTGGCTAAAACTTTATGACAATAATAAATTCAAATAAATTCCGAATTTCATTTCAAATGACTGTGCGCGCACCTTGAAGTATGGCTTTATAAATGTTTAGTAACGCAACTTTGGGATGTATTTTACAGTTATAAACTTTCGGCTTTTGTTGTCTTGATGAATATGCAACGGTATTCCACTCACTTTTTAAACTAAAAACCCCCGCGAACGCGAAAACGCTCCATTATTAGTTAACGCGCGCCTTATTGACTTTGACAGTTGATGGCTCCTAACATATTAGACGGATTGTTGTTGGGATATAAAATATATTGACTTTTATGACCCGCTTTAGTCCAGAGTGGCCCTCTAAAAGTGATAAACGAGTGTCCTTTCGGCTACAATTTGTCTGTCACAACGTTCATAAATAGTATAGCTTTTCATGCGGAAATTAATAAACCGTCACTTAAACGCCTGAGTGGCTTTCAATATATAAAAATATACAATCTTCCGAGGCCAATCAATCGCAAACAATTTTGTTTTTCCATACTCATACTCGACCAGTAGAATAATTTGATTTGATTGGCACGTGGGAATAGAAATTTTCCATTCATATCGCTATCGCGAATCTCCTTTAGATACTTTTAGTTACTTTTTCCGATACCCATTTAATGTTACAGCAGCCAGGTGGCCAGACAAATGGATGAACATTGTTGTTGTTGTTGTTATATACTTTTATATGGAGGATGGTGAAACAGTTTGAACCATTTCTATTACATCAACACCATTTTTCACCATCTGAGGCTTCGAAATAGTTTAGGTTGGTTTTAAAATCCAAATGGCCATCAACCAAGAATTATATGATTACCTTGGGAAAGATTAGGATTTGGTCAAAACTGTTCCTTATGTCCAGATTTCTCATTTATCTTAGAGAAGTAGATTTGCAAAACCTAATACAAGTTCTGGAAGGCTTTAAGGTCCATTTCCTGATGAGCCTTTTGGGATTGGGATACGTTGGAATATTGTGCGAATATGATCCCACTGCTTTCCACCCTTTTAAAATCTAAGTACTACTAATTACTAAAATGTGCTAGTCTAAATGCCTAGGCTGAAATGACTGTTGAGAGGAACTGTTGGTACCAACCCCAGTCGAGCATCAAGTTATTTCGATGGAAATTTCAACCCTGCAAAAATTTCTTATTTGGGCTGGCGAGGTTTTTTTTGGTATCAGTAGAAATTTTGTAGTTTCAGCGATAATTTTTCCAGGGGGTGCCATTTGAAATATAAGAAAATATGACATTTGGAGAGGGTCAATCAAAATTGTTTTCTATAAATGACCTACAAAAGTTGTGTAAAGTGAAAGAAGTCTTGGCCTGTGCCTCAATTTAAAACATAACCGCCGACACGATTTAATTTCTCTGAAGAAAAAATTCGAAAAACCGACGAATAGCGAAATTTGATTATAATTTCCTTAAAACGAGAGACAGTAGTTTATTTTTATTAAAAATTCTTGATACCATCTCAACAGTGGAAGTTTCTTATTCTATTTTTCACGTAAACTTTTAAGAAGTGTGGAAAAAATGACATAATCCTTGAGGGACTATCGTTTTCGAAGAGATGGACAGACGGACAGACACCGAAAAATTATGAACTCGCTGAGAGCTCGTTAATAATCTAATAAGTAGGGGGAGCTTATATCATCTGCCTATGCTTCTTTCATAAGTTCGTATTTTAAGATTGAAATTTGATTTTTAATCACTTTAAACAGAAGTTTAGTTTGATACTTTTAAAGGTATATGATTTGTCCTTCAAAAAACCTCATAGCAAAGAGAAGGAGAACATTTTTAAGAGAAAACCTGATAACGAAAATTGATTGGTAAACAAGAAACCCTGTTTTCCTTTAAAAATATAGGGCGCAACTTTCAGTTAGTTCGTTTTGACTCAAATAACTGTTTTTCTCTACAAAATTGAGCTAGTCACTGCGACTATTCAAAGAGAAGGAGCTATATACATACCTATACAGAATATTAAAAAACTATAATCAGAAATCCCGTTGGGTATCCATTTTCTCTTTATATAACTCGAAATGGGGTGTAATGTTAATCCACGTTTAAGAACTCAAAACCCTCCCCATAAAATTCAATTTATTCAAAAAATTTGATGTTGAAAAATAAGGCTAAAGCGACATGTTTCGGCTAACAAGCCATCATCAGGCCAATCTTAAAACTACCGGTAATGGTACAAAGTCCATGATATAAAGCAAGTGAAACGGAAGATGAACCCTGACGGGAAACACTCTAACCGCGCAAGTTAAAAAACCGCCTTCCTAAAGGGAAGACTAACCGAAATATTAAATTAAGGAACAATCCATCAAGGCTTATGGGAAAAATATTTATTAAATTACATTTAGACGAATAGAACGTAACGGAACAAAATCCATCTACAACAGTTAAACGGAAGAGAACCCAAACGGGGAACACTCCTAAGGCAAATTAAAGATCTTTAAGGGAAGGTTTTGAGTTCTTAAACGTGGATTATAATCAGAAATACCTACTGACTTTTTAGTTGATAGCCCTCCACCCTCTATTTTTCGTTTACATAGTTATAAGCAAAGAGAAACTAAGAGCTACTAATGAATAAATAAAAAATACATAATACATATACAGGGTGGTGACTTGCGTAACGCATCATAGAGATTTCAATGTAAAATTCATAACATGCGATTATTGGCTCCCCAAATTATTTTAGAGCAAAAATGTATTAAAGATTTTTGTAGAAAAATTTTTTTTACGCCAATCACCCGTTTTACTTTTCAATTTTTTGAATAATAAAATCGGAAAATTGGAAAAATACAACCCCCATCTTTTTCAATAATCTGTGATGCCATGGAATTTTCTAAAACAAAAAGATATCCAGTTATCAATTAGCAGCAGTTCGAAATGGATTTTATGATCGACTTGGTTACTGTCTTGCAGTTAATGGTGACTTATTCCAACATTAATTGTAAATTGTTATATTAGAAAACCGTTTTCAGTACCTAATTTGGTCTTTCTTAATGTTCTAAATATAATACTTTTTGATAGAATTTGATTTGTTTTATAGCAGACATTCCATGGCATGACAGATATTGGCGTAGTTTTTGTATTGTAAAATTCCATGGCTACACAGATTATTGAAAAAGATGGGGGTTTTATTTTTCCAATTTTCCGTCTTTATTATGCAAAAAATTGAAAACTAATACGGTTGATTGGAGTAAAAAAATGTTTTCTACAAAAACCTTTAATACATTTTTGCTCTAAAATTATTTGGGGAGCCAATAATCGCATGTTATGAATTTTACATTGAAATCCCTATGGTGCGTTACGCAAGTCGCCACCCTGTATACTAAAGTGCTGCTGCGGTGAAATAATTAAAATATCACGCAATAATTCTAACTGTACGCCATAACATGTAAATATATAATCTAAATAATCACAAACTATAGAATTAATTGACCTGAAATGACCCTAGGAGGTTTAAAGTACAGTTGCTGAATGCAACCGTTTTGATTACAAACGATAGTATCGCCACATCCACCACAACCGAAATAGTTGGTGTTGTTGTTTTTGGTAGTAAACATATAAAAATTTTAAACGTAAGTGTATTAAATTCTTCTGATTTATAAACGTGTCCACTTTCCCTAATCCCAGTGTTAACATTGAGCGTTAAAAGTGGTCTAAAACCTTATAATATTCACTTTAAAGAAAGTTATAACTTCAAAATTTTCTAGGTTATATCCTACACGTACCAGTTCAATGAAGTAGTATGGATCTAGCCCTACTCATATCCGAAGCCGTGCTCATCGATGGCGACAAAGTGAAAGTGAAAGCGTGCACAAACGGTGACGATTTGGTAATAAACGAGCATAGTCTTCAATTTAATTTGCATAGCAGTATTTTCCCCTCATTAATTGACGTATCTTCGTTAGTTTCGTTAAATTTAAGCGCGTGTAAATTAACATTTCTACCGGATGACTTAAAAAATTTGTCGCTAACCGAATTAGACTTGTCGAAGAACGCCTTTCGCGAAGTGCCTAAATGTATTTATGACGGACTGAAGGTTTTACAAGTGCTTAACTTTTCGCATAACAAATTGTCATGGTTTGACGCGCCGAGATGCCTGATTAAATTGCGCGTGCTGAAAATTAACCACAACGACTTTATGGACATACCGCCTTGGATTTTGAAAGTATTTGCGCTAAATTTGGAGGAATTAGACTATAGTCACAATTGCATAATCTCTCTTAAGGCATGCAGATTTTATCTCACTCCGATGCATTGTCTTAACAAACTCGAGTTGCGTAACTGCGAAATGCGGAGCGACGACTTTAAATACTTGAAAACGATCCGCACGCTTAAACACCTTGATATTGGCAACGATGAAAGCGCGTCAACAATGAATAGTTTCGTTTCCAATGACTTACTGCAGTTGTTCATCTCGCCCCATTGGGCGAAGAATTTGACAGTATTATCTCTCAATTACTTGTACATTTCGGACCTCCCGGCGGAAATATCAAACCTACCGGCATTGGAGGAGCTGCACTTGCGCAATAACGAGCTACTCTGGCTTCCCGAAGCGTTTCTAATACCAACCCTTCAACTACTGGATCTCTCATTTAATCGCGTGGCGATTTTGCCGAAAAATCTCTCGGGAATGCCCAAATTACGAATTCTTCGGCTGGAGGCGAACGGTTTGGAAACTTTGCCGGTCATGCCCTCCCACTTGGAAGAACTGGATTTGTATAACAATAAGTTAGAGACATACTGTAATACACAAGGCGATCTTCGAAAGTTGGACTTGGAGATGAACTACTTTGATACTTCAACTCTGGGCGACTTCGAGCGCTACTTGGAGATGAAGACTGCGATACGTGGTGGAGGGGATTGCTTTAGGAATGACGGTTTTCACAGGATACCCGAGCCGGAAGATGAAGAAAGTGACACGGATTCTGAAATTGATTCATATTGTGATAATGATGAGGTTAGGAGCGCCGGTGATGGCTGCGTAGAGGAGTGCTGGGATGACGAGCAGTGGGGCGAGGGTGCTAAATTTTCGGGTGATGATGGCGTTACACTGTCAGATGTCGAGTTTAACGGTTATCAGGAAGATCCACCAAAACCGAAAGTTCAGGGGGCGCGCGTTGTATTACCTGACTGGGTGTATTGCGATGTACCCAGCGAGGAGTAAGCGGATCTAAATTGATGATGGCATTCTGCTGTGATAATTTTGCAATGGCTGCCTACCGATTGTGTTCTTTGTTTGCAATTGTCGCGTGTACCTTTATTGTTTTGTTAAAAATAAAAAATACGCGTTTTTGATTATTTTGTCTCATATTTTTTTTGATCACCGCATTAGATCGGTATGGTGAAGTTACAAGCAGGAAAATACGATTTTGCTTCTGTACGTCATCCAAGATTATTCTGGTTGGTATGAGCCCCAAACTTTCCGTTGTCCAGTTTCGATAAATAAATTGGCTTTCCCAAATAAACGTCCTTTATGATGAGTTTGATTTTCCTATGCCGAAGGTTGAAAAGTATTATATGCGAAGGACAATTGACCAATGTTTACTAAATTCAAAAATCTTAGAAAGACAAAATTTAACCTTAAAGAGAATTTGAAAATTAAGCATTCCTGCATTAAGGCCCATATCACTCGTCAAAATGCTTAAACAGAAAGATTGGTACTTATAAGAATCTCGAACTTAACTTTTTTAACCAGCGCCCTATGTAATACGTATATGAGAAACCCCCGTTTCTTGTACCTCTACAAAGAGCGAAGTTATGGTAAAAAAAACCGAAAAGTCCTCATTTTCGAGAATGCCCTGGAGTTCATTTATCTTTAGAGATATCAAAAAATAATGTTAACAAACCCTTAGTGATTTTTTTCTGGTGGTACTAAAATAAAATTTCTATGATTTCTGAGTTTCGAATAAATGACAACAACTTTATTTTTCCTTATGGACGCCATATTGGATTTTTATTTCACTCGATAGAGAAAAAATTACAAAATCGGCGATAACCAATACTGGTACTTCCAGAAATTTTATTTATTTATTTGTTGTCGATCTTGTTCTGGGCCTTCAACGGGCTTCCGCCCAATTACAGAGTGACGCCAATAATCCTTTTTAGAGGTTCCCCTGGAGAACGTCTATAGGAAAACTGCAGGAACACCTAAGGAGTAGCCGGTTCGAAACTGATTTAAGGGAATTCCCATCTCTGCCACAGATGAAAAATTTACAATCTAGTTTTTATAACAACAATTCCATGGCCGTGTTGATGGTATGCGAGACAATAAATGAACAAGATACGAATAATGGTATACGATAAGATTTAATAATTAAGATCATATTCAATAGCTACTCTTGAACTATTGGCGAAGGTTAGACATCGCAGTCTCTTTTATTTCTTGGGTTGGGCGAAGAAGAGACAGACGTATTATAAAGAAATTCCCCTAAACATGTTAAATAATTTCATGCAATCTATGGAATTATTGCCATATGAAATACATTGTAAACTTCAAGGTATTAATTTCAAGTCGATTCCTACCAAGTGTTTAGTATCACTGGATATCGAGTGACGTAAAAAATCCAATATGGTGTCCATTAGAAATCAGAAGGTTGGTGAGATTTACTCGAAAATTTAGCACTGCCAGAAAGCCCAGTGAAAATTATTAAAGGATTGTGAAAATAATTTTTTGAAATCTTTGAAAATAAATTAACGCTAGCGCATTCTCGAAAATAACATTTTTAGATTATCTAACCATAGGTATTTGTGAGATACCTACAACAAATATTGAATGTGAAAATTAATCAGCATAAAATTCTGCATAACTTTGCCCATTTAAGAGCCTTTGTATCTTTTTACGGTTTACGAGATCCCTATAGTGAAAATGAAAAAATAAACTCACTATATTCATTATAATGAGGGAGGGGAGAGGAAAATATTGTAAATAATAAAAGAAAAAAATAGAATATAAAGGGCGTCAAATTATGAGCTGTGCTGATATACAGGGTGGAAATGTTGTCTACAACAGCGAATATATCTTTAAAACATTTTCTTAAACAAGTTGGTATCCAAAATTATAAAAAGTTTCCTACGAATCTATGTGCATGAAATTAGTGGTCAGTGGCGTACTTCTGCAAGGTCAAGGGAGGAGGGTATATCTTTTTTTAACGCCAACAACTAGTTTTCATTATATATTATTACACTTTTTGGATATAGCAGCATAAAAAACTTATATTACATAAAAATTTTAAGAGAAAAACTCAAATTAAAGAAAATAGTTGCGCTGATTATTTTTATAATTTTACTAGTTGAAAAAAAAACGTTCTTTTGTTAGTTTTGTCAAATTAATTTATTGTATCATAAATTATTAAACATTTGCAACAAATCTCCAAACTAAAAAATGCACACCACCGTAGTCTTCAGTTCGTAGATTTGCTGCAAGTTTTTAATACTTTTTGATGCAGTAAATTGCTTGTAAGTGTAATTTTTAATAATATGAAATAAAAACTAGCCGTTGCCGTTAAAAAAAGCCCCCCATAACCATGCAGAAGTACGCCACTAACCACAAATTCAAAGTATGTACGTAGATTGGTAGCAAACTTTTTATAATTTTGGATGCTATAAAAAGCTTCTTTAAAATTATTGTTTTCAAGATATATTCAGTGTTCCAGACAACCTTTTTGTAAAGATAAAACAAAGACCTTTGAATTATTCCGCTACGAACTGTCCAGGTGCGAATTATATCCGAGTGCGGTTAGTTTTTGGAGGCGAATTATGACAGTCGAGGGCATAAATTATACGGGCACGAACTTTTCGGGAATAAATTATTAACCGTACAAGAATTATTTAAGGACTTGAGTTTTTAGCAAGAAATTTCATTGAAGGGTTACATTACCATTAAATAAGTAATTTTACTTATTCAATACATAGGACATCTAAATCTTATTAATATTTAATCGAAAAGAAAAGAACAGTTATTATGTCTACAAATACCTCCCCCCCCCCCCCAAGCGGACAGTTGCAATTTGTTGATGCGCTACAGTCGTTCTTAGGATTTCAGAAACCGTAACACATAGAGATTCGGTTAAATGAGGAAAGAATTGTCGTTTTAAGAACTTATTCAAGATAATATGCTCTTGTTTTTTTGAAAAAAATCCACAGTTTACTAGATATGAGCGAAAAACAGATTTAGTGATTTTTCTTCTAAATGTTGTAGAATCGTTAGTATTAGAAATGCAGAAATATGCAAAGAAAAAGAATTGTAGATCTTTATCCGATTAATAAAATTCATTTATTAATTTCCACTTTTCTTTTATGATTTTCGAGTTATAACGCAAACTTTCGTTTTTTTAAATGGTAACCATAGTTGGCTGTGGCATTTTTAAAAAGTGCATTTTTTTCTGTTTACAGTGATATAAGGTTCGTTGTACTTACTTTGACAAATAAACATGATACACAACTGTTTGCATTATTGAAAGTTATAGTAAAAACGGTATTTGCCATGGGAAACATTTTTGTCCTCTCAATTACTCAGTCTATTATAATATTTAACTTAGAACTTTAAGGCCACAAATAGAAATGGGCATTTTTTCGCGATAGAATTTACAACTTTACGTATTATCCATCCATCTAAATTGCGAAAGGAATTTACCCCAGAATCATGTAGGTAGTTCTTTTGTCGCATACGTTCGCTAATAAATTAAACATTCTAGAACACAAAAAAATTAAAATTGAAAGATCTGGCGATCTTGGTGACGAAAGTATCCGAAAATTTGGAAATAGTTGGTTTAGGTGCTCCCGTATTTGTAGTTGGTTGTGCGTCGTACGTCGTGTTTCCAAATCTAATCCATCCTACATGTCTTGAAATTCATTTGGTAGAAAATGACGATAACGTTGGCCTGCGCAATTTTCGTCGTAAATGAAAGGTCCAAGAATTCGCGATCCAATAATTCTGCACCAAACATTAAATCCAAGTTTTCTTATATCGTTATAAAGAGAAAAATTTGTCCTTTTTAAAAATGTCAAAGTCAATTATGACTACCATTAAAAAAATTAAAGTCAAGTCAGAAATTGTAAAATATAGAAGGAAATCAGTATGTTCATCATGTTGAGCATTAAAATGTCTAAAACTTTTATTAGTGTCATTTTCTTGTATTTCTAGTGATAACGATTCTACAACAGTTAAAAGAATAGGTAAATCTGTTTTTCGCTTATGTCTAGTAAACTGTGGATTTTTTTCAAAAAACAAAAGCATATCTTAAATAAAGTCTCTTTCCTCATTTCTTTATGTCATGGTTTCAGAGATCTCAATGCTTAAAATGAAAAAAAACTCACCCTGTATAGTGTACAGGCTGTTCAACGCAAACCCTTACGTAAAAGTATTAAGGCTTTCATTGATAGCTCAAATTTTAAAATTCGTATAGCATTTTTCGTGATCTATCTAAAGAAAATATTGTCAGGATCGTTTCACTGCCGGTTTTACAAGATGTGGATAGCAATTTTTTAATTTTAAATAGAACACCCCGTATTTTACGACAGTTTGGAATTCTACAATGAAAATCTACGTCGTTTGATACCACATTTCCCTATACACACCTTCAAAGGTTTTCACTTTATTCAAGATGATGACTCCGGTCGCTTGAATTTCAAAAAGTCTTCCAAAATCAACAATACTAACTTGATGCTATATGAGTATATGAGAGTGATTTAAAATTTGATTGTCCTTCTACAGGGTGTTTTAAAATTGGTCAATTTTAATAACCTCGAACCTTAAAAAGGTGATTTATTCAAATAATTTTTTTGCACTTTTAAATGTCGAAAAAAATTCTACATCGACCAATTATCACATTCCCTATACCGATCTGTTATGCTTTCCGTTTTAATTTACATTTTATAAAAGCTTTAATAAATCTAAAAAAACCCAAAGTCAGCAGCGAGCTCAACGGTTGAAAATACTGTATGATAGCACAAACCAAATCTAATCTTTAAACCCTTTAAAATTCAATTAGGACCCCAGTTTGTATTATATTTTCCTTCTTGGAGAAGATCCTTTTATATTTTTAGATTTCATTTATCTAATTTTGATCTAATTGATTTTAAATTATTAGAAGATTATAAATATAAGGAGTATGTGAACGTTTTGAAGATTTAAAGAAACTTTAAGACGATCCTAGGAAGATTCTACTAGAATGTTAAAAGGATTCTAAGAATTTTCTAAGGACTATAATAGAGTACCGATGGATTTAAAAGGTCACACCCCTCTCAAGATCCTATACAGGGTGTAGAACCGGTTTACACACTA